AGTCTACAGTCACATTGTAATAAAATAGCGTTTGGCGGAAATTTCCACTTTGCTCTAAAGCTTAACGTGTTGCCGTCCTAGAATAGAAAGCAAACTGTAAGTGGCGAACAAAGTTTAGTAAGGTGTTTTGCGTTCGTTAAAAGTGTGATTTTTTTCTTGAAAATGTTTTGAACTCTTCAGCTGTTTGGAAGACGTACTAGCCTCAAAGAGTTGTACATGCTATTGATCTAGCATGTCTAACAAAACTTCAACCATMAGGTTTCGGATTAACCCTCGTTTGTTGGTGAACTTGAGGGATTATCGGATCGATGAGCGCTTGTTCTTTGTCTTTGGGACATTTGAAAGCTGCGTTTCGCTCATCGCGGATGATGTTACATTGTCCATTAAAAACACAAACAACACTATCTGTATCGCAAACAAACCTGCCCGCAAACTGGACACACTTTACGTGTAGTGAAAAGTACCGTATCGTTTTACTCTTAAATATTACTCCTTTCAAAAAAGCCTTAGTCTATAAATGCTAGTACATCAAATGGCCTGCCTTGATGACAGAGAATTATTGAGGTTCCACAAAGTGGTTCATAGCCTATCGTCTTTAATTAGTTGGGCTRCTTTTAAAGCCACTGTAGCGTTCTGTATCAATTTGTCCATTTGTGACGCTATTGTTGCGTGTTTTGTGTCTTATCGAAAGTATAAGAATTAATAGATTTATTTTAACGTAATGAATTGGATRGTTTACGTCAATAAAGCAAAATAACGAGGCTCTATTCTGGTATGCAYGAGAGTGGCCCCATCCTTCAGACATCCTCGCACTAATTAATACTGCGTGCTGAAGCGTCATTAGAAACTAAAAAATCACTTTAAATCCGCTTTTCTTGGTCACTAGCTTTGCTCTAATAGAATTGCAGTGYCCTAGTTTAGCCAAACATAATGTTTCACAGTTGGGTTCAATTCAGTCAAAATCTAATTTCTATGTTTGTTGCTAGAAAACTACAAAAGAGTGCTTGTTCTTTAGCCAAACGACGAACAATGGCTGACACCATTGGTCTAATGTTATCCTAACAAAGCTGTGTAGATTTTCCTCTGCGCATTGACGACATTCAATCTTTTGTATGAAACACYGGTGTTTTGCAAAGCCACTATCCCAAATACAGTTGAATATATAGTACAAAAGGTTGGATTACAAACTTAGTTTARATACTAACAACACTTCTCTGTCTTAGATCACAAATTTCATTAACTGTATTATTACACTATGTTTCTACAGCGACTCTAAAACTAACACTTTTGGCATTTTGATTCGGAAGAACGACCTGATGAGTATAATTAAGAAGTGACTYCTATCCATCACACRTTGGTGGCTAGGTGCAGTGTATAACCTCTAAGCAAATCGAAGGAAACACAGACATCCTCTTTTTTTGCTTCACCTGCAAATGTGTAATCTTGAAACAAGCTAAACGACAAAACTTACTGTCAATAAAATTGTACCTCTTTGTG